ATCAAGGCAGGAAAGAGTTTAGAGCAGATGCACACCAAGCACAACTACCTCAAATAACAGAGAGATACAGAGAGTTCTTTCTTAAGTAGTACCCCATATGGTGAGAAAGCAGCAGTAGAGGCCCTTAAGGAAAGAGCCTTTTATTGACTTAATACAGAATCACAAGATGTTAGGACAAGGGAGGAAATAAGGAATTTGAAGTCATGGCCAGGGATTCTGCCTTTAATAATAAGCAATTCCAACCAGTTCAAGTGCCTGTGAGGAAAGAAAAACTAACAGGGGGTGACTAGCAGTAAGTCTGAGTTTCAGTCGAACAGCCATCTTCAGCTAACACCCCAGCCACTGGAAACTAGGTTCTGTTTCTGCACCCTAAAGGTAATAGACTGTGCCTATGAACAAGGAGGGAAAGGAAGCAGAGAACAGCAAGTTACTAAAATATGCTTTCAAGAGCCAGCTTCCATGTCTTCCATGACTGTCTCGGGTGAAAGCAAGCACACAGCTTTCTGTTGGTGTCATCTCCTGAAACCTTTTGCAGAGCACACAGTACGTACTAGTGAGAGAGTCACTACAGTCGACAAAATGAGCATGTGGGCAGAGGAGATAAAGTGTTTTAATAACAAAGATAATACTATCTCTGTCATCACTTACTTCTGCCAGCTGAGCCTTGTTGAGTCCAGGCCTGGTCTGCAACTTATAATGTCTCTTGTAACGTCGCAGGGTGTTCACCTGGAGCTGGAACAAGTCAACCTGGAAGTGATGCAGAGAAGAGGGGGTGAGCACCACCTTTTTCTTGTTATCAGGCAGAAATGTTGAGTTACCTAAAAATAACGGCTTCTTCCTCAACAGGACTCCTCCCTGCCTGCATTCAGCACCACATCAGCTTGCCTTACTGACAAATCTAAGTATATTTTGTATCTGTTAATGCTGAAGGACCAAAACAGCCTCAGGGAAATAGAAAATTTTGTTCTGGTTCGCATGCTGTCAACAGAATTGCTGGCCAATTTCTGCTCTCAATTACACCTCTGAAACCTCCAAGCAGAGGGGAACTTTTTGTTCCCACAAGGTTGAAAAAGCTCACACATGAAATATCAATTTAGCAGGCACTGAACAAATGGCTTGTGACATAAAACAGAGTACAGAGACAGGGAAGAAATGAAATTCAAATACTTAAATGGGAAGTGCACAGTTTAAAAGCAAAGCTGGGGGAGGGTGCAGGAAGGAAGACGAAAATCATGTGGAAAATGCCATGTTTCAAAGACAAAAGGAATCTCTGTTGAAAACCAAGAAGAAAATGACATTAAAGCTGACACAGTGCAGAGCTCCCTGTTCAGTTAGGTGACGTGCATCCCTCAGTTTTTAACCACCAAATACTCTGTGTGCTCTACGGCACTAACGTTTTTAGATGCCAGCTGGGTCTTCATCAATCATCCTGGCAACTAGCATAAAGCCTGTATAGGAAAGGTTTGGTGGAGAACCTTTTAGAATGGAAATACAAACAGCTACGACAAAAAAGTGAGGTATCCTTAAAAAAATACACAAACAAAAAGCTTTCTATTCCTTCCACACTCCCACACTGGAGGTCTGTGGACAGAGCTCTGCAGGCAAGGCACAGCTCTGCTGCAAGATGAGTCTCCCCCTGAAATTAAAATGCATTTTGCCATTACAGGTGGCATTTCCAGCAGAGGGCTCCCCTGAGGTGGCCAGAACTCTGAACATCACCTCTGCACAACTTTTTGCCATGTCAGCAGTTCCAGAAACATCACCAAAGCAAATAGAGCACACAGTGGCACAGAGAAGAGGTTATTCTAGAGTTCTGCAACACAGACAACCTCCCCCAGGCCTATTTCCTGCAAATAAAGAGGTTACAGATTATTTGAAGGTAGTTTTGAATAGTGGCAAAAATACCATCTATGCAAAGGTCTGGAAAAGCTAAATATCCCTGGATAACAAATACCCAAACATGCAGAGAGTAATCTATTGAATTCTCTAGTGTATCTGCAAACCAATGCATAGGAAGGTAACAAAGAACCACATCAGGACCTCAGTCACCACTGAAAATAAGAATTAGTATCAAATGCTGTTTCAACAGCTCTGCTTGGAAGCAGTACATCCATGAAGCTGTGCGGTTACCTTATCATACCTCTTTTTATAGAAAACTTTCCATGGGCAAAGAACTCACACAGGAACGAAGAAGAAAATTGGGACATTTTCACACATCAGAAAACAAGTCTCCCAGAAAAGTGAGAGTAACTCCACAGCAGTTTCAGTGGAGCTGCAATTTAAAATGTATTTTCTGATATGTGAAAACATCCAAGTGAAACTTCAACATGCTCCAAAGCAGCCTGCACCCACTTGGCACCTACTAACCTCTGGGACATCCGTTTCATGCTCAGGAGAGTCACCCCCATCATCACTTGTCTTCCTCTTTCTTTTGTTTCGGACACTCTGGATGAAGTTCTTGTGAAAATCACAAATATACAGGTGCCTCACCTAAGAATCAGAAGTGGTGAAAAAGCAATCAAAGCAGGTACTGCAGGAAGAGCATTCAGCAGCAGCCACTTCCACAGCAGCATTAGAGGTGACCGGCATGACTGCCCGCCTCACGACAGTAAGGAGTTTCTAATCTTAAAGCCCAGGCCTGATATCGTCCTCCTGAGTTAGAGATAATTTACATTACAAAGATGAAAGGCAAGGAAAATGAAGGACTGGAGAGATCCAGCTGAACATGAACCTCTGCAGATAATATATTTCTTTTTTATGGATGCAATCATATGTCAGAAAAAAACCCCAACCCACAGGTACTCGTCTGGAGGAAGAGCATTTGCTTCAGGACTTACTACCAGGTAACTACCAAGAAAAACATTATTCTGTTCCACTCTTTCTGAACGTTCTGGTTTGAATACTACAGAAGATTATTAATGCAAATGTTTTAAAATAGACCAAATAGAAGTTGGGTAATTGCCTCAATTCGAACAAGCAAACCAAAAGAAAATGTCTCCTATGGCTTATCCTGCCATGGAACCCCCTTTTTAACAAACATTATCTCACTAAACTTAGCACATAGGACAAAAAGAACCACAAATGATCAAAATTACTTTTTCAGGCAAAAGACACAGACACCCAACATTCGAAATCACTTTATGCAGCCAGCTTCACACGTTCCCCTCATTTTGAGTTCATTAGTCTGATCTGCTCTTTTTATTTCCAAAGCCTTACATCTGCCAACAAAGAATCATTCCTAAAGTGAAAGAAATTACTATTCCACTAGACAAATCTGCTGAGGACTAGAACCAGGACAAATAATCTGGGTTTTAATAAGACTGTATTTCAAACCGAGTCACTCTCTTCCCATGATGTGATGTATTCAGGCTGTCAGAAAGGGACCCAACCAAGCAGGGAAGCTGCCAAACAGTCTGACACAAAACTCAGCCTTTTGGTTTCTTCTTTTAGTAGTTTTAATCTTCAAAGATCAGGTAAGAGAAGCAGAACTCCGTTAACTGAGCCGCTCCTGAGAAATTCCTTCTGTACCCTTTGACAGGCTGCTCTGCTCTACCTATTTTTCTACTTGGCAAGCGACTCGTTTCTATCTTGAGCTGACAGCTGTCACTTAGTGTCACTGAGGGGTCAGCAGCAAATCGAGCTGCTCAGTGCCGGCCAGCTAACGAGCGTGCAGACGCCCTGGTGAAGAGGCAGCACACCTCACCCTTCCCATCAGATGCAGTAATAACCTGCCTCAGGAGAACAGGAATTCTCGGCAACTGAAAGAACACCTCCAGCGAGTCCTAACTGCAACAGCAACCCATCCCGCCGATTCCATCTAGGTGCAGCAGCGCGGCGAGCCCAAACTCAAACAGCACCCCCCCCCGCCGATTCCATCTAGGTGCAGCAGCGGCTTTCAATACGAAACCGAAATTAAACCAGCGCTATCACCTCCGAAGCAAAGATCACTTCGTCCTCCACCCCCCGAACCTCATCTGCTCCCCACCGCATAACAGCTTCCCCCCAAACACCGTTTTTAGCGCTGCTTCATTAAGCCTCAGGAGATAACCAAGGAGAAGATTTACCCCGGCATGTTCTTCCCGAGCCCCAGCGTGGTAACGCTGACGACGGGAAAACGCGCTATAGACGAACCGCCTTTGCCCCGCAGATCATCGCACCCGTGTCCCCACGGCTCCTGGGGTACAGTGACCC